AAGGAAGAAAAGAAATCATTGCTAGGAAGGTCTGGAAACACACAATAAGATTACTGATAAAGCAGAGGAGACCTGGAACAAGGGAAAGAAAAAAAACACAACAATCCTTCTAGAGATACCTGTGGAAGGACAGAGCTCTRGACACCTTGAAAATTAGGAGAAAATGATTAATTTTGACAAGAAAGGAGAGTAGGGAAAGTAAAAGGAGAGATCTTTCAAGATGTGAACTTTGAAGAAAATATGGTGGACGAATGTGAGGTTTTGTTGGGGGGTTTTGCCTGTTTCTTTTGCTGTGGATATTTTATGGAAAAAAAAAAACAAAAAACCTGATTTTGTTGCCTGTTGAAATAGTGGTAACCACAGAATCATAGAATCATTGAGCGTGGAAGAACCTTAAAGATCACCAACTTTCCCTTTGACCCAGCACTATCAAGGCCATCACTAAACCACGTCCCCAAGTGCCACCTCTCCACCCCTTTTAAATYCCTCCAGGGATGRTGACTGCAAAATGTTCTGGGGAAAAACATCATTTTAGTGCAGAATACYCTAAACTAGCAAACACTGGCCTTGTGTAAGAGGCTGCAAAGCAAAGTTCCTCTCCTGAAAGTCATCTTGCAGAACCATTGAATACTTTCAATTGTTTCTAACCAAMTCATTACCATTAAATAGGAACATTWRAGCCAAATTAATCAWCACTCAGTTGAGKAACTAGTTTTACTAGGATTAAGAATTAAGGAWCAGGTTTGTAGAGCTGCACAGCAGCTTTGCACATGACCAGAGAGAGGAGCAAAAGCTCCCTTTGAAAAGGACAAATCCACAGCCTGAGCCATGAGCCCCACCTCCTGTGAATCTTTCAGACTTTGGGTCTTTCATGCATTTCTTACAACAGGACATAGCCCTAAATCCAGGAAATTTAGAAATGTATTAAGCAAAAATCTTTATAATCTATCAGGCAGAAGTCCTTCCTTATTATTCTCGTTTGACAATTTTTTATCATTTTATATTTTGTTTTTTTTGAGGCTGATTTCCCAGCCACCCTCAAAACAAAAGGTCCAGTTTGGTGAGTATTAGAGCCAACCAGATACTCACTGGAATTGAGGAGGATCATTGCCTTGACACACAGGTACTCCTTGTGCTGCAGTTTCAGCTCTCGGAACCTCGAGGTCATGGCCAGGAGCATATCAAAGATCTCCAAAATCCCCTCCACGCATTTCCCCTCATCCCTATGGAAACACATTCAAAATGTTACCAGAAAAAAAGTAGAGTTAAGGAACTGGCTCAGACAGATAAAAGTCAAAGCATGAAGGAGGTTTCAAAAGGCCTATTCTCACCTTTTGGGAGAATTTAAAAGGCTCTGTCATGAAATCTAAATTGAAAATTACACTGGTACAAAAGGTCAGCATTTATGAAAATCTGATTTTTCTCTTYAAAGTGCAAGCAGGATTGACCATAAGTATGATCATATTTCTGTATCCTCTCAGCTCACATAATTCTGGATAACCAGTTTGAAATCCTGTAGTGAAGGGCACAGTGCCACCTTCAATAATTTTCCAGATTTGTTTCACAAWGAATTATCACAACCAATAACATCATGTTTGTACCTGATGGAGGCCTCAGGACTTGGTGAAAAGGGATTAGATTTTCCTAAAATAAGTTGCTTGGCATAGTAAGACATTTCTAAAGAATTAAACAACTCTTGTTACTATCTCCTGGCACTTTTTTCTGTGTAGGTATTGAAAGATATTTGGATTTTGGTGGTTTTGTGGTTTGGTTATTTTTATAATTGCAAGTGCTTACAGAATTCAACTTGCTCCATTTTGGTTATTAGAAGTGGTCCTGTTTTATGATCTGAAAARCACCCCAAACAAGTCATTCCAATGTGTTTAAAATTCAGCAGTGGCAAATTTCAAACCATTGAATCTGCTTTTCCATTTTTTCTTAGTTTTGTTTTACATGTACCGGTCTTAAAAAAGTGATTAAGTCTACAATAAAAGTATTCAAAGGGAGCCTTCTTACACTATTTGTAATCAGAGATTTTTTTTCTCTGAGATTTTTTTCAGACAAGACAGATTTTAGCACAGCAGTGCAGGAGAATTACAGAAATCTACTGGATCCCAAGAGAAAGGTGTTGAGTCTTCAGGAGAGGCAGGGACACACAGGTAACACCACCAAGGGGCAGCAGGTTGTGCCTGCAGAAGAGTGGTTTCTAATTTTCTTTTTTAAAATTTATTGTTGTAAAGGAGAATTTTAAACTTYGGAGGACAGGCAGCTGCCAGATTTGAAACAAGGACAGAGATACCAGAGAAGAAATGGAATTAGGAAATGAAATYAGGAAATTAGGAAATGTRTCTGAAGGCTYCAGGGAGATTTTAGAACCCCTTCCARTRTCTAAAGGGGCTCCAAGAGAGCTGGAGAGGGGCTTTGGACAAGGGCTTGGTGTGACAGGATAGGGGGAATGGCTTCACACAGAAAGGGWGTAGGTTTAGATGGGATATTARGAAGAAATTCTTCCTGTGAGGATGGTGAGCCACTGGCACMGGGTGCCCAGAGAAGATGTGGATCCCCCATCCCTTGGAATGTCCAAGGCCAGGCTGGATGGRGMTTGGAGCACCCTGGGACAGTGGAAGGTGTCCCTGTCCATGGCAGGGGTGTGGAATGAGATGATTATTAAGGTCCCTTCCAACCTAAACCCCTCTGGGATTTGAAGGTCAATTAAGACAAAAACAATCAAGTTACTGATCAGGTTCTCATAAGGATGTCCTAAATAAAATGACAGAGTGCCCTGACACTTGTAAGCCCCACCTCTGCCATGTCTTGAGGAAATGAAGAAATGCATCAAATATCCTTTCTCTGTTCAGCACTTATTAGCTCCTGAGCAATTAAATGTATCATTCATTTTGAGCAATTTTTAATCATTGCACTGAACAATGCAGCATGTCTTTGCATTGAATTTTATATGAGCAAATAATACTTGCTTCCTCTGTTTCATAAATTAAATTTATTTCTTTTATTAGCCAATTTTGCCTATCTGTATCTACAATGATAATTATAGATTGCAAATCACAGAACTGGTGCAAATCTGAATTTTCTCAGGTTGAAAAGGCTAAAAGGCAATTTAAGACTACTCAAGAGAGCAGATTGTTTCCCTGACTTCTAACCAATTTGGAGCTCAGGTCAAATCCTTCTAAGGTTCTATAGAAAAAAACATCCTTACTAATTCATATTCTTCCTTCCTGGTACATGATGCTATGGAGAAATAATCTTTAACTTGAAAAAACACCCTGCTTTACCTAGAAATTCCATTCTCAGTGTTTAACAGCAAATTGGGGTCTTTAAATTCCTAATGATTAGTGCTGCAATGATCATTATTATGGCTAATGATGAATTCTGCTGTAGTGGAAGGAACAAAACCAGGCAGGAAACCTATTTAAAATAATTAAAATATTGCCTGACACTGTATCCTCTTTTTAATGGGGGATGTAGGGACAAGTGGACAAAGTAGTGTGCTGTGTTGCTTTATCTACTATTTCAGCATCTGGAGACCTGGAGCAAAGGGAACAAAACCAGCAAAAAATGGAGAAAATGCAGAGAAACTCATACTCAGTGCTACAGGAATTCAGGAATTTGCAAGTTTGACTGTGCTTTTTAAGTTCAGCATTCCTTAAATCCCTTTAAGGATGTGGTACCTCAGGACATTATTGTTACAAGCACAAGTAAATGATAGTGTCAGATGAAWTATTAATAATATCTGCCATGCTTGWTYTTCTTCTTACCACTGAACCCATCTCCAAGAATGCTAATATGAAGTGTTCTCAGGAAATTTATTCCTCTTACCTGTCTAATACRAGGTCTGGTGCAAAAATCAGTTTCCCAGGATGGTCAATTGATCTCCACATCAAACCAATCATTAGAACTTCCATCCAGCAGCTCTCCAAGAGTCTTACTTGGTCATAGAGGCTGAGATCAATGAAGCCTAAAGAGGTGAAAATATCATAAAATARATCAACCTGTTAAATTCTCTGTTTTGGTAAAGAATGAATGTACAAGAAACGAAAAGAACCAGAAAGAACTACGGGATGCGAAGAAAGGGAGCACTGACATCCAAAGTGCCAGGCTGCCATTTCAAATAGGAACAAAAATATTTGCTGTTATCATTGCCAAATCATCCATAAAAAGTTTGGAATAAAGCAGAGTGGTGTTTTAGTGCAATTACTCCCACAGAGCTGGTGAAACTCAAATGGCTGCAGAGGACTTGCTTTATGTTCTCATCTTAAAAGAGGAGAGATGTTAGAAAATATATTTTGARGTGCTGAGCCACTGGCACAGAGTGCCCACAGAAGCTGTGGCTGTCCCTGGATCCCTGGGAGTGTTCAAGGCCAGGCTGGGTGGGGATCTGAGCAGCCTGGTCTGGTGGAAGGCTTGGAATGAGGTGATCTTTAAGGTCCCTTCCAACCCAAACCATTCCACGATTCTCTAATTCTGATTCTATAATTTATTTCTCTCCAGAACTTATAGCAAGGCCTCAGATAGCAATGCAGCACAGTCAGAAGGGAGAGACAGTCACTGACCTTCCTTTCTCTTACACTGAAAAAAAAGAAAAAAAGAAATAATTCCTAGAAGCAAAAAAAGGATAAAAAAAATTTACACACTCCAACCCAAAAGATCAGAAGTGTAAAATATAAAAATACAAATGGGAAAACACTGCTCAGTCAAGGAGGAAAACACATATGTGGGTGAAGAGTTGTCCAATGATCAAAACCAAGATCAGGCCACAGTTTTCAAAGCTGAGCTCCTGCAGCTCAGAACATTGGCAAAGGTGTTCCATTTTCAGATGAGCTGGCATCTCTGACCCTGAATGGTGACAAATCCTTATAGTCTGGCCATGGCAGACAGGTTTCCTGAAGTCCTTCTCAGTTGTCTGAGGTCTTAAAATACACACAGGACWTTTGGGTGCCAAAGCATCTCTCTGTCAGTGATTTATGCTATGTATAAATGTATTTTAATCTTATTACACTGCTCAGCTGGAAGACAGGCAGTGACAGCCAGGGGTTGGCACGGGCTGGGCAATGCTCACTTTTATCATTGATGAATTTTATCGTGCTGCCTTTCAGAGCTGCTTCTGATTTTGTCAGAAGGGCAAACAGGAGCCCAGGAGTGGCACCTTCCCTCTTGGATTCCACCGCCACAGAATTTACTACAGAATGCACAGCCCACGACAGATTATCTGCCACACACATTCATCATTTAAAAGTGCTTTTAGGAAAATATTAATGAGAGTGTGAAATRGGATAAAAACTGACAGTGGCAGTTTCCTGGGAAACAACAGCCCTAAGACATTTCAGAGGATATTTAAATAAACATTTGCACTGGCATGTACTGATTTCTCTAGCATAAACAAGAATTGTCAGGTGAGACAACAGACCAAGTCCCAGGGTTCAATCTGCAGGTTCCTGAAGATCCAGATTTGTCACTGATGTCATTTGCTAAACTCTCATTATCACCAGCAGCAGTAGGATCTAGGGCCATTGAGCACAGCTGTTAAAAGGGCTGCACTTCTCCTTTCCTAACAATCTCATGCTCCAAAAATCCAGGACAGCAAACAACAACCTCAGCTTCCACTGCAGTGTCAGAAGTGCCATTTCCTTTCCTCCATAATACATTAAACTACTAAATTTTGTTACATGTCCTTGTTACATGTCCTCCATACTTTATCGTTTAATTATATATTCCAAAGACAGACAAGAAAAAAAACTTGTACTGGGTGTGTAAAGACCAGAAAAAGACACAGTGCTCTGGTCAGCAACACACTAGGTTGCATAATGAATCCAAATTTCAATATTGTGACAACATCTTATTGATTTACAATACAGATTCAGCAATGAACCATATTAAAACTCTTCTAGACTGGGTCAACAAAGCAAAAGGCAATTATAGAAGCTGTGTTCTGCTGCCTGACAGCAGAGAATTAAAATACTAGGAATTCAGAAGGAAAAAAATCCAGATGTCAGCTTCTCTTTTACTGAGCAACAAAATATACAACCCATTGTGCTGAAAGTACAGATAAMAACACAGCCACAGAGTAAAACTCATAACAAAAGACTGTCATTAAATATTAAAACCCCCCCCCCAAAATATAAACATGCATTTTTCTTATTTAGGCAAAAAWTTATCATTAATACAATAGGGAAAAATAATTTTTTTCATTTCCAGTGAGCGTCAAAATAATATCCAATAATAACCAACAGGTGAAAATGGTCTTCTAACCCAGGTACACAAAAGCAAATATTCAGCTTTTCAGAAAGTAAAATTACTGCTCACTGGGCCATTAGCCAAGAACTCTATTTTTCCCAAAGACATTACATCCAAGAACCAGTTGTACACGTACATGATTACCTTCAGGCAAGAGTTTTTGAAAAATGAAATCCCGTGTCCTGAGCTTTAGTCAGCACAGGTTTTTAACAAATAACAAAAAAATCAATCCACATTGAAGTAAATGCTCCAACTGCCATGCAATATTACTTATAATTAGGTGCATATTAAACATTGCATCTATTTTTGGCATTGCTTTAAAATGCTGTTTATTTCTGTTCTCTGTCACAGGAGTAATCAGAAAAAATAAATAAAGATGACAAAGTGTCAACATTCCCAAGAACTGTTTTGAAGGGCTTTGATTGCTTCAATGAGTTTTCTTCATACAGTTCCCTTACCGCCAAGAAGAAGTTTTTATTTCTGACATATGTTGAAAATAAACTTAAAGCGACTGATGCCAAAATAAGGGTTTGTTTGAAAACTGATGTTTTAAAAAAATAAAATTAATTTTAACTGGTGAGGTTTTGGGTTTGTTTAAAAAAAAAAAAGGCATCAGAGTTAAAAAATATAAATTAATAATAATAAGGAAGGGGAAAACATTAGGTTGGGGGTTTTTTTCCCCACTGAAATGTTACTTAAAATGAGTTTATTTTCTAAAACTGGTTTCCTTTGCAATTCACTTCATACCAGATAAACATAATTGTGTGGAGTCCTCTGAAATGACACCTTTTAATCAAGTTTTTACGTTTAAACAAGAAATTATAACAATAGATAACCATTTAACCCAATATGAGTCCACCAATTAATCCATACTTTTAGTTTGCTTTCAACTTTTACTCTGCCTTTTTTAATCATGGGTATTCCATGGGGAAGGAACTTCAAATTGCTTGCTGTTTCTGGTTTGTGAGAAGTCAGAGGGCTCATTGCCACRATGCCATGGACACATTTGAGACATTCCAGGCAGTTGTACTGCAGTGCATGCTCTTGGTGTGGCCAACAACCAAAACCACCATTATTGATTTTTATTTTGAAGGAGTGCACACGATAAATCTGAGATCAATACTGAGCTCCACTGAGGTTTTTCTGTAGCAACTCAGTCAAATGAAAYGATTGCAGACACCCAGAACCTGGATACCCTTCAGTTATCACCATCTGTACTAGAACCCTTCTATCAGCATCCAAGGAAATAATTTGATGTTAAATGAAGCTKCTAAATCAGCTTAATCAGGTATTTATGAGGAATTTCATAAAGCACCAGCTCTGCTTTATAGCAAAATGAACAAGTATTTGAGTAAGAACAGACAACAAGTTGTGGGTTAAATCAAAACACACCCAGGTTAATYACTGAGAGCAATAAACTCTCCATCACTTTACAGGACAGAAAGCTTGAAATTCATACCCTACACTTACTGTGCTGTTCAGCCAYTTCAGAGCAGAGAAGGACACACTGACAGCAAAACCATTGACTAAAATAAAACCAAGCCTAGAATTTCTTACCGGGAATTTTCTTGGCCCAGCCGATCATGTGCACCAGCTCTTTGTCCGCCAGTTTGGTCAGGGACATCATCATGGAGGCCTCGGTGAAGGGTTTGCTGGGCCTGCTGACCAGCACATTGGGGGGCTCAGCTTCCAGCAGGGTCAGCACGAACTGCTCGGGGCTCACAGCGCTCAGCAGGATCTCCTTGACCCTGGTGGCCGCCTCGTTGTATTTCCTGGCCCGCCCGAGGCAGTGCACGCGGTCGTCGGCATTGCGGTGGCTCCGCAGGATTCGGTACCCGCAGCGTTCCCTTCTCGAGCCTGYCGTGACAGGACATGGTCACACTGGAGAGGTTTTGTCCTCAGGTTGAGTTATACAAACCCAAATATTTGGGGAGGATGGAGAAAACTCCTTAATATTGGGTGTTTGAATGTGGAACATTAAGTTTCCAGGACATTCAGCATGGACTTAACGTTGCTCCCACCGACTTCAGCTGTTTAGTTTATTCTACTAAACAAAAATAAAGTTTAAAAATGCTTGGTTTTGAACTTTGGTTAGCTCACTTTAAAAGTCCAGTGGAAAACTCCCATTGACGTAAAAAAGATACAAATCAAAGATATARAGGCAAATAAAGATAGCTGATTGTAAATTCTGCTTTAGATGTAAACTGGGGGAATAAAAGACTTGAAATTCTGGGCWATGTTAGCCTCAGGAAGAACAGCTGGGCCTCACTTAGCTGGGTGTTTAGCCAGGGATTCACAAGATTCAACCCATTTTCTCCCCATGCCCCAAAAAGCCAGCAGGAGTTTCTCCAAAGGGAATTCAGGCATCTACAACTAGGATCAAACACCCTGTTCGGAATTCTGYCTGCAGAATTCTATTTCTGTTGCAAAGAGCAGTCCTTTACATTCCTGGACTTAATTGTTCATTTTGACAGAACCAAACATTGTCCAATTTTCTCTCTCTGGTGGTATCACTGTTACCTGGTTTTGCATAGCTGCCAAGGARAGAGTCTAAAAGCTCCTCCAAAACCATAATATTCATAAAATATTCAGCCATATTTCTACTTAAGCTAGCAAAGAGGTTCAAACATAAGCCAAATTAAAAATCAGGGGTGGAGAGGAACAAAAAATTGATTTCAGATCATGTTGACTGGTTCTGTCTTTCTAAATAGGATATTGGGTGGATGCAGGCTCAGTCTCACGGGGCAGAGGAACCTCAGATGGGGGCAGCTTTTTGGACCATGGTCYTGTCACATCTTCAGCAGATGTCAAACAGAATTTGGGTCAGTCTGAGGGAGGGGTGAAGGCAAAGGCCAGTCAGGAACAACCTGACTGAAGAAGGACAACAGAGCCTTCCAGGGATTTAGTATGTGTACCTTTGAACTACATGCAGCTCTCACTCTCTCTTTTACTGCCTGTTTGATAAACTGTGTTGGATGTAGAAGAAAGTTCTCAATATTGGAGAGCTCATTTTCCCTGGAAATCCAAGAGATTGGAGAAGACCAGTTGGCAAAGCTGGCTCCATGAACAGACCTCAGGCACAGAGCTATCCAAGTGGGATGAGCCATTTGGAACTGGAAGCATTTTCCAGCTGGAAGTCCAGCTTAAGGTCTGTCCCATTTGGGGCAAGGATGGTTTTGTGACTTTGAAAGGGATGTGGGTATGATGAAATGAGTGCAGACRGGATATTTGGACTAATAATGGACAGAAGGAAATAAATAATTTGTAGAACCAAATGCTTAGCCAAATGACAATGAGCTAGAAGTGGCCAGAGCAGATGAACAGCAGGAAAGATAATATAGCAGCAGAGACTATCAGACCTTGAGATGTTATCTTATTCATTCACAGAATGAGACTAGATGAAAATACCCAAAAAAAGGTTCCCTGCAGAACTACAGAAGTAACAGAGCAATTTCTTCCACCATCTCCTGGGCAAATCCTTCCTGAGAGAGTCAAAAGCCACCAAGGCATAGACTGTTTTCTACAAAAGCACCTGGATAATGCAGTGAACTCTGTGCTAAGCCTCATTTTTTGACTAATGCACAATGGTCAGGAGGAAAATCTCGAAGTGATTTGTCAACTTCCAGAAAACACAAGAATGGCACAGTGTGCTGCAGACTGTTCTGAAATCATGCAATGCACAGAAAATAGGTATTTTCCATCAGGGAAGACAAAGAGGAAAGACAGACAAAGTGAAGAGGCAACTGGACAGAGAGCACAGGTAGAGACAGATGAGGAGGTGCCCAGGTACCAGAGTGCTCTGAGAGAGAGATCCATGGCTCTGTTCCCCTGGCATGGGAGAGACCACAACCACAAGAAAACATGGCACATCATTTTCACTACTGAGAAAGCTGAAACACATTTCMCATGGGCACCTTGAAATACAGAACAAGAAAAATAGCAGAGGGAATAAAAGCCATAGGCAGAGTAGAGTAAAAATTTTCTTGGGCTGTCAGAAAGTGCCAAATGCTSTGTGATATGTGTTATCTGAGTTATCTTTTCCAGTTCACTGTTGTGAAGATCTTTAAATAACGTTTTGTGTCTTATAAATAAAAATACAATCTTATATAAATACATAGAAAATATAAGCACACAGGTAATTGAGCAGGTACTTTAATGAAGATCAAAGAAACCAAATTTTAAAACAGTTTAAAAAGCAGTCCGTCATGCTGTTCTAATTGACATAATCTTGAACAATTTCCACCTGCACAGCTKCACTCAGTTCTCCATCTAAAGATAATTCACTCAGGTTGTGATATTCAGAGTATTGAAGGTCTCAATACTTGTGGAGGGATCTTACTGGGAACTAGCAAACCCCTTTAAATTACTTTAGGTTATTTAATTGAATCAAGTTTCTTATGTAACCAGTTCTTATTGTAAAAAATATGCTCCATTTAAAACATAAACTAAATTTCTATAACCACATTACCAGTGCAGAAAGCCAGACTAGGAGTATTACATTTCCGCATTTAAAAAAAAAAAAAAAATTCTACTAAAGAAAATATAACTGATGGCGAAAAGAAGGTGGGAAAAAACCCARCCAAAGCAGATTCTGAGCTATTTGTGGTATTTTTATTCACCATATATTGCCAAAGCAGTAGACTGAATCACCAGTGTGCATAAAAGATAATAAAAAGAGRTACCACTTATTTCCACTTAATTTTTTTTCTGCTTGGTTTTAAAGAAAATAAAAACTACATTTAAGCCTTGTAATCATCTGATACACCACAAAACACCAGTCTTTCCAATTAAAACAACACATTTTAACAACACAAAGGAACTTTGCCTTCTGTTCAAGCCCAAAGTTTAGGCAGGACTAAGAAATTTTACCTATAACGTCTATTAGCATACAACAGACACACATAAGTGTCTATAAAACTACATATTATAAATAATTATCAACCAGCCTAATGTTTGGCTTAAGCAGACACAGAAATGTGGATCGATTTGTGTAAAGGCAGAGCAATGAAATACAGCTCCCAGATTAGGAACTATCCTCGACTTCACCACAGACTCCTTAACTGTACTTAATAGCTAATATTCATTTCTATAAAGGTAATTGAGGCAATTGCAGAAGTGCAAAATGATCAAATCCCTCATTCTTCCTACCACACTCTCCTTATTTAGAGTGATTTTGTRCAAGAAAATTGCTGTATTCAGCTGAGAATGCTGGACCAAGGGCAAGACCTTGAGCTACAGCACCACAGCCCACGTGAGYAAATGACCCCAGGATATAAGAAATAAGGCACATTGAAAAAAGTTCATTAAAATGAGCCTGTTGTTCATTCACCCATGAATAAGCCACTGAAGGTATTACTGGCAATGAAATACTATTTTTCAAGCATTACAAATTCTCTAAAAATCACAAATGCTTTCTGCTATAGTGTGCAGTTACCTGACATGTTGCCCTTCATACTGATTTTGGTCCCTCAATGGCTTATATAACTAACCAGTTCTGTAGCAACTGCAGATTCTACCACTGAATATATTTTAATCAGCTTTTGAAAGTGTTTGAGCTTAAAACTGGCTCCAGTACACATTGGTAAATCATTATCACTCCAGTCACCTTTGAAAGCAGATGCAAATGTTCTGGTGAGTACATATTCCAGAGCAGAGCTACTGACAAAGGAGCTGCCACCTGCCTATGTGCACATGAGAACATRAGCCAGAATTACAGTGATTTCTATAATAGCTAAAATTCAATTAAAACATCTGATGCCCAGAGAATGTCTTGAAACATTTTGTCTCCACTTATTTTCTGTCTGAAAAATACTTTACAGTATTTCAACCGCACACAGAAGCCACACACAGGAGAAAGAGCCAAATCCTGAACCAGCCCACAGAGAAATGTGTTTTTCTTCCTGCAAACTTGTTRAATGATGCCAGGATTCAAGAGCAGCATCTCTCCATGACTTTTGAGTGTGGCCTCTCAGCCTCCTCAYTTAGGGCTGAAAGGAACTTTATCTTTGGAACATTTTCAATGTTCAGGTTAGAACTGACACACGGGRAAGAATATATAGGAGCAGGGCAGAGGAGAGAAATAAAAGACAAGTCAGGGAAACAGAAAATTCCTGATGGAAGAAGATCTGTTTGAGCCTCAGGAAACAAACAAAGCAAAGAAGCTCAGAGCTGCTCCAAGGGTGCAAAGTGATGGAGCAACTCCCCTCTATTTCACTGACTTTGACAAACAGTCCAAGTGCATTTCAGCTCTCCAGGTAAACACCAGAAAGTTCCAAGGGAAGATCTGTTTTAGTCAAGTTTGCTGGGCAGACTTCACTGCAGTTCTTCTGTTTTCTCATCATGCTCCTGATGACAGTACAATTTTTTCGTAATTATTTTTCTATCACTGTTAGTAGTCCTACCACCAAACTTTAGCAGTAGCTTTCTTGTTTGGAACAGCAGGGAACATGGACTTCCTGCAGAGGAATCAGCAGATGCAGTGTCTAAAACTCTCATGCTTTTGGCAATGATGGGATTTTTTGTGATAAAATACATTATCACCTTAACACAAGGCACCCCTGAGCTGACCTCCACCAAAATACCTGTGGCTTGTGGGCTGACTTCTCAACATTTCTGAAGGTGATGACATTTGAGAGAATTTCAGACSAGGAAACTCCAGAGCCACACTTTTCTACTGTTTCCTACTGTRTTGTAGATGGCATGTACTGCTTAATCCCATTTAGACACAGAAATGAGTGTTTTAAACACACAAATATCKATGTGTGTGTTTTTTCTCAAGGTGTCTATTGATAATATGCAAAGTGAGGATTTAAAGATATGCTGGGAATGGTGCAGGGATTTTATGAAGAACTCTCAAACTACAAAGTGCTAATTGACCTTCTTTTATCACTTCTGCTGGACACAAGCCCCCACTGAGCAAAAATGCACTCACAAACCATTCCATCCCATCCAGATGGATGAATCAATCCATTCACTGGGTGACCTCAGAAAGGAGCAGAGATGCAGAAAAGCCTTCATTAAAAACAAAATGTTCCCTTTTATGGCTTTCTACAATAGATTTTTATTGAAGCAGAGTTCTAGTGAGAAAATGTTTGGGACATAATCGCTCTGGTCTGCAGGAAATGGCATTTACATTTCATGCAAGAAATACTGTCTTAAAATCTGTCTGGTTTAAATGTCTGTCACCATGTGTCCATACATCAGCATTACTCACAGGTGTCACTTAACTCATCAGGTGACTCAGACAGTTCTGAGTAATTTTTGTGTTCTTCTTTCTGAAATTAAATTGTTCAGAYTATCAAATTGAATTCTCGAGAGCTTCAAGCTTTGGTGCTACTATTTAAAACACTAATTATTTTAAAACACAATTCCCTTTTTGTTCTAGTTACAGTTTCAATCTGTCATTTTTTTTTGTCTGGCATAATCATTAATGTCCTGTAGACAATCATTATTGTGGGAAAACATGTTTATGAATATGACAAGATTCAAAGGAAGACAGGCTAGGACAGAATTGCATACTATAATTTATTACTTGTAATACCACAGTGCCCATGAGGTCTAATCACAAACCAGGAATTTCTGGACAGCTAGAATAAAAAGATTRATTTAAACCAAACATTTTGGAGGTCTACCTTACCATTCTGGAATCAATCTTTACAAAACCTTTCCAGCTCCAGAACTGGGGCTTGATAGAAACCTCCACTGGGAAAACTTTGAGCAAAGTTCTCAGTCACAAAGATGACCAAAATTCAGAAAGTCAAGTTCTGAAAGGAATCTTATTTGCAGCCATAAGCCTTTCTTTTCTGGAGGTAAGACCAAACACCAATAAAGCTGAGATACCTCATCACTGCAGGAAAAGACAGGAGCTTCACATAGAAAGAACCATCTGATTTGAGCAAAGGAAACTCAATGTACTTCAGGGGTACAAAAATAATGGAAAGGCCAACTGAAATTTCAGTTCTGCACTTGGAGTTATCAGCTAGAAATGAACGGGGAGGCTGCAATCATAACAGATCATGGTGTGATTATGAACTGCCAGCATGATGTTACCTTGAAAAAGGTAAATAGGATCCTGGGTTGTGTGCAGAGAAAAGCTCCTGCAGCAATAGAAATGTATGAGTGGAACTGCAGTGAGGAGAGTCACAGGAATGCTGTCCATAATTCTGGCCATCCAAGTGCAAATTGGATTATCTCTGCCTGGAGCAGGTGGAGCTACCCTGACGGTTTCCAGATTCTGCCTATTTTCCTCTTTTGCAAGAGGAGAAGTTTCCTTGGGTTTTTTTAGCCAAGTAAAGCAAAGGTTGTGAGGGGATAGGATGCAGTCCCTAAACAAAACCAGGGTGTTAACAACAAAGAGAAGAGGAGCCTCTAAGYAAAAAGACAATGTTGTCACAAGAAAAAACAGACATTAATTGTTTGGCAATAAATGCAGGCTGGAATTCTAAAGAATGTTCTTAATGGAAGAAGTTATATTTTGCAAACAGTCTTCAGATCAAAGCAGTGGGAGGATGAAAACAGTGTCTAGTTTTGAAACAGAAATAGGTATCTACATTAAATGGGATGAAATGAGATGCACCCCTGCAAATTRTGGAGAGTCAAGCACAGTGACCTTCTCCTTTCCACTCCAGTGCTTTTAGGGGATATTTTCCCAGCTGCTCCTATCACATACATTGGGCATTCTATAAGAAACAGCAAACCCTGACTGTAAACATGCATTTGATTGAAACATCTTTCAGATTCTTTTCTTCTTAAAAATAACCTTTAAAATATCATCTCTGAATATACAATTACATTGGAGCATGTCACTGTAAGTACAAGATAGGGTTAAAAGGTTGGGTAATTCTGAATGTGCAGTGACAGTGGTTCTTCAMTGTTCCTTTTGGTGGAACAGCTGTGGGGCATCATCTGAAGAKAGTTTGTTCCAAAAAAAGAATTGCCTTCCCCTCACTGACCCACCAAAGCCCCACAACAAACACTGGGACACCACAGAGGTGGCTCTTCACAGGATGGGTGGCCAAGCTGCTGAGCCTTTATGGGATTAGAAAGAGGGACAATGGAAAATCTGTCATTCCACTAATGTCCTGAGCTGTTGATTTTTGGCAGCTGAGAGCCAACAGCAGCAGCTCCACACAGCTGATTTCATTCTCACACTCCTCCATAGACACTCGAACTCCCATCAGAATCACACCCACCCTTGCCCCTGTCAGAGGTGAAACAGTGGGTGAATTAACTTTGATGTGACTCTGCTATTCCTGCAGTGCATCCAACCAGCAGAGCACAGCTCATTCACCTCCCATTAACAGAGACTGGCACTGGAAGACTCTGGAAGGCTCTGGAAGGTTCTGGAAGCAGCAGGTCTCCAGTTCCCATTCTGCATGGCGTGGAAGTAACCTGTGTTCCCAAAGCTCTGCAGAAGTTATAYGGTTTTCACATGCTTAACCTTCACCTTGCCTCTTCCCACAGATTTTCTTCTGAAAATGGCAAGTCTTCATCTTTAAGAATCAGTTAATTCCTTCCCATAAAACCAGCTTAAACCTTGCTTTAATTGACTATTGTGGCTTTTTAGGATTCCAAGGAAGGAGATACTGAATCAGCTGAAGGGAAATAAAAAAAATAAGCCAGCAAAACCCAAGGTAACAGCACAGCCATGCCAAACTCACCACATTTCATCATCCCCACTTCGTAGCATTTCCGTAGCCTGCAGGCCTGGCAGCTCTTGCGCCGGTTTTTATCKATTGTGCATTGATTGGTGGCTGGGCAGATATAATCGTTGTGTCCTGCAGCAGGGCAAGAAGGGAAAATTTAACATTTAAAATTTAGATTTTCAACAGTCTTGGTCATTTCCCAAAATAAGAAATGTTCTTGACTTTAAACAGCTCAACATTTTCATGTGCGTATAGCTATGCTCCATTAATTTAACTGATGCAAAATTTCCTATTTTCCCTATATCATAAACATGAATCTGTGGCCTCAAAATTCCATACAGCATAGCCCAGCTTTATAGTGATGACTGCCAGATAACCAAGCACCTTCTAAAACCAACCTATTTCTTGAAAATGGAACACACAGTCTTGTGGAAATTTGCTCCCAACCTGTAATTTCTTACTATATATTGGGAGTCTATGGCTGGCAGATACCAGATTTTAATTATTTTTTTTCCTCAACAGAGCTGAAAAGAACAGCTTCAGTCCTGCAAAGATTTAAGCAAACTACAGCTCTATTTACTGAACTATGATGTGGTGAGTTCCAGGAATGAAGAAGCCTTTGAAGGATTGACCCTGGACCAAAGTTAATTAAAAAAAAAATAAAAAAAAAAAAAAAATAAAAAACAAAAGCCAAGAGAAAAAGCAGACTGGTATGAAATAATGCATCTTGTAACTACAAAGAAAAACACAAGTAGAAGGTGTAAGTTTTAGATAGTCTGGACAAGTATTTGTCTTATTTTTCATCACTTTTCACTGCAGCATCTTCTGTTCTTTTCTCATTCTTTCCCATCTCACCTTATTCCCGCCCAAACCCCTTTATGTCACTGTATTTCATTAATCAATAATCTGGTCCAAAGGTTTATTACTGTAAACTGGACTTGGGTACACTCCTGGTGTAAATACAGTTGAATCATCTCCTGCCAAATACTGGAACTCTCTCTTGCAGCAATTACCAAAGGATGTAAAAATATTCACTCATTTACATTGCTTGATGTCTTTTCTCCCAGGCTGCTTTTGAAGTTGTGGGGTTTTTATGGTTTGGTTTTTTTCCCAACCAAGAATAAGATCAGGAAAAATACTGCTACTAGAGTGATTTTTTTTTTTCACTTGGTGCAAATCCAAGAGTTCATGTCCCCAAGGGTAATTATTTAACTGAACCATTGTGACTATTGCCTTGCAAAATTAGAATTATTTTAACCTTGAATTTTTGAACCGACAATTTTAAAAAGAAGAGATCARATTACAGTTTGTCCCATTTCCTACTGGCAGACAAGACTGAAAAACAAATTACTGTTTATCACTCTTCACACACAACATGGGGARAGAGGAGGAGGAAGTTTTCTGCTGCATTACAACCCAAGCACACAGGAGAATAAAGTGATTTAAAACTCTTGTGGCCTTGGGATAATTTAACTYGCAGGCAGATGTTCAGTGATGTGGGACAAACAGCCCACACTACAAACTCAGACAAGCTGAGGGGACCACACRCAGTGGCTCAGTAATGCCATCTRACATTATTCAGACGTGAGCCCAACATTTTAGTCTATGGCAGGCCCAGAACTCTTTTATTTTAATACAAAAAATCCTGCATAACAACCATTGCAACTGAGTGTGTGATAGTGTTTTATGCCCAGAACTGGCTTTCTYTTATTCGTGTTTTATTATTCTTTTRTTKGAATTACAAACACCATTACCTGGCAGAGCACACTGAGGTRCCCAAAAGAACACAGGGGGTAACTTCTGGTGGCCCAAGCAYATGTGAGCAACACAGAGCAGGCAAACCATTAACTTGGCAGAAAACCCTGTGAGAGCAAATTCATTCTCCATTTGTAACAAACTRGACACAGAGTTCTCTTCAATTATTTTAGAAATCAAAAGTCCTCGCTCCAGCTKGTAGAAATTGCTCTTCACCTGTGCAGTATTTGCACAATAAATTGAAAAGGCAAAGCAAGTTCTGAATTAAGTTTGATTTTCCTGGTGGCACCAACTCTGCCAAAATAAAATATCTGAAGATTTTTAGCAGAAAGCCTGCTAAAGGCTTTGCAGGCAGAAGAGAAAGGGGAACACTAAAGACCAAAAGGTAACAAGATTTTCTGCACTGGTATCCACATGCAGTAGCCAATGTCAATACAAATAACTTTCCACCMAAAGCTCCCAGATGAGGTCAAAGAACAGGGTAACCAGGCCAAGGTTAAAGAAACCAAGTGCCCCAAAGCTGTCACACAGTGCCTGAGTGACTTCCACTGGCTGGGACAGCAAATGTGGAGCCCCACATTTACTTCACACTGCAGCCACCCAGCAAATTTGAACTAAATAGCAAATATTTCAGAATTTAGACATGGAAGTAGAAGTCTTAAATAGAGTAAGAGATACTGCAGTGCAGGCTCTGAGGGGTGGGGGGTTGAGCATTAACACCAATCAGGGCAGTACCTGATTTACTCTGCACATATTTGTCCATCCTCCATAGGGTGTGGATATTACACACTGAGACTCAACAGTTCCTGGCAATCGACTCTTGTCAAGAAGAGCTCTGGGCAAGCTGAGTCTCCAGGTAATTGCCTTCTCTTACTGTGTCTCTGACAACTAATTCTCAATTACTACAACTGAGCTGGGACATAAACTCCCATCAGATTCACAGCTCTGCAGTGCCACCCCACCCAGGCTTCACTGTGGGGCCTCACTGTGCTSTGCTCCACCTCTGCTCCAAAGAAATCAGCTGCTCACTCTGCAAAGTTTCCAGATCTTGATAACATCAGAGCCAAGGGAAGAACAGTCAAATCATGTGTTGCTCTATTTTCAGCACGGAGCACCAGACACCAGGATTTCAGACCAGCTCATTACTGGATCAATTGCTGCAGCCCCTAGTCACACGAAAAAAATTATTTGAGCAAAATTGGCAAAACCTGTTTGTCYTACCTTGAATACTTCTTTTAAAAAATGCTTTGCAGCCTTCACAGGACCAGACCCCATAGTGGTATCCTGAAGCATAGTCACTGCAGACTGCACAGAAGTGGGCATCCTTTTTTGAGCCAGGATTATTTGCAATGGGGCTTGTACAATCATTGCCATTAACTTTTCTTTTTAAAGTTTCTCTGATAGAAAAGAAAAACATGTGTTACAAAAGAGGAAAAAWTTAAACTGCAKTGYAAAGARTTTCATAATTTKCCATTGTCTTCTATTGTCTCTCTGCAGAGTCTTCATGTTCCTGAACACAGGATAGTGTGAAACACTGTTAAGCCTTTCTGACAAGATAATTTAAAGCATGTAGTCTGATTCCAGTGATAACACACTAGAAAGATTTAAAATAGTCAAAGGGATAAAACTGCTGCTGTATTAACCACATGAACCCTGGGAAAATCATATGGAACTCTGATGGATCTTGAAGAATTGCTGGAAATGGGCAAGTCCAGGAATTTGTGAAGTGGATTTTGCTTCTCAGGAGCTTCAKATGGAAAAGGAGAACTCAGACAGCTCAGACTGACACAGTAAACGCTACAATGATCAGAGCTGCAGTTGCTTTGTCCTGTTAGTAAGGCAGAATTACAATACACATCCATTCTCAAGTATTTAAGTACATGAGGCTTTAATCGCTCTATGACATTCTGGAGAATTCTGATGTGAATTTCAGCCTACAGGATCAGCTCATGATGTTAGACAAAGTTTTCTGTTCAAGGTGACAACCCTTGTTGATCACCTGAATGCTAAACTAAAAGAAGTATGAATACAAGAAAAATGGAGAAACACAATTAATAAAATACTTTTGTGCATAAAAAAAATATTGCTCTACATAAATTAGTCAGATACACACATTCCTGAAACATTGCAAATAATTCCAACATACAGGAACTATTCTTCATGACTGGATTAAATTAAAACAGGATAAAAACCATGAAAAATAGCCAATTCCTGACACCAAGATCCTGTAAACAGCAGGAAGAAAGGAACTTAGATTATCAGTAATGCTGGGTTTAGGTGTAGGAAGTACATCCATTGTATCCTTTTTATCTGGACCTGATTTTCTTGGTGGTTTTTGCACATTTTGCTTTCAGGGTCAGTACAATTTCTCGACAGAGAGCAAATAGTGTCATGTGCAAACTCTCAGCAGCAGTTTGAGAAAAAGAAAGGTGTACAGTCAACTTATGGTTATAAACTGAAGCACAGAGGCAGAATTTAGGAACCCTAGAATTTTCCTCATYCCACCTTCCAGCAGGATTAGAGAGGAGAAAAATCATTTGGAGTAAGACAGCAGGTAGCATTGTTTATGACTTCTACAGAACAAGGGCAAGTTTAACCAGAACAGTGGAAACATGCTGAAAGTGCAGTCAAAGAGGCTTTAACTAATATATTAAAAGTAGATTTTGTGCTGGTTGCATGACAGGAGGTCAGGACAAACACACCCACATGCCAAATGAAAATCATCAAGTTCATAAGCATTTGAGGAGAACACGTTCAAATTTCCTGGTAAAAAATTTGGAAAGGAAGAAAAGGTGCTTCTTGGAGCAAATTTCAAAACAGAACAATTAAGGTCCTTGTTGCACAATTAAGTTACTGAGAGGTTTTTTTTAATGTTAATTCATTCAGATGTGGCAGGGCAGAGGAGGGTTTAGGTGGTTAACGAGCTTGGTCTTTGATTGCACACACACCCCATTAATGGATTGGTGAATCACTGAGTTGCTTCCCTCTCTGCCATGCTGAGAAGACCAATGAGGGGGAACTSTCCCCAAAAGAGACTGTATCACATGTGCTTAATATGCTGCCAATGCAAGGAGGGGAAAACATTGCTATTCCTTCCCCTGTAGTTTGAAGCAAAAATAATTTGGTGTTTCACATTAGTAAAAGAGGTATATTTTTGAGCTTTACTTGGGAATCATTATCCAGTTGTGAGGGTCAGAGGAGACTCCAAATGAGCTGGAGAGCCTCTCTGTGACTGATTGATATGCTGTGGWGAGCAGTGTTTATTGCCCTCGATAAAGCATTGAGGTTATGGATGAAAATAAAGAAAAAGCACCTCCATAACATCTCAGTGTGGATTGTTAGTTTTTACCTCCCAGTCATGACAAGTGCTTTTAAAAAGCACTTTTTCTTCCCCTGCTTAAAAGTTTAACAACAGCCACCTTGCACACATGCAAGGCTTTCACAGGCTTGTGGCAAGCAGCTTGTGCACAGTGGAACCATCTGGAACAAACTCCTCCTGCGGCCAAACAGCATCAGAGCTGCTCGTCTGAGACAGCTGCAGCCTCGCACCAGGAGGCTCAAACCCCTTCAGTTTGTCACCACTGTCTGCAAGGACAACAGGCCCTGTAAAATCAGGGATTTTGGATAAATATCCCATACCCCAAGACTCTCCTGCTCCGCAGCATTTCCTCACCGGGGGCAAACAGAGAGGGCAGAGACAACATCCGTGGGTAGAGACAACATCCCAGCTCCTGCAGGGCTGGGGCACCTCAGGATGCTCAGCAGAGGAATGGGCTGCCAGATCTTCCAGGTGAGCTGGAAGCAGCTGGATGAATGCTCACAATGCTCCTGCACCAAAGGAGGCAGGAAAATAGGGGATGTACCCTGGCAGCTGCTGAGGAGCCACACGGTGAGAGATTTATCCCTTTATACCTCCTAGCACTCCTCTCTGTTTTATGGTCGTGGTTTCTATGCAGAGATACTATATTTCTGAAAAAGAGTTAAGACTTCACTTAAAATAGTAAGTCAGTCATTTTCTGCTGGTTATCCTTCTCTGAGCAGCCTGGTCTAGGGGAAGGTGTCCTTGCCCACAGCAGGGGGTTGAAACTACATGGTCTTTAAGACCCCTTTCAATTCAAACCAKTCTGTGAAAAAGGGGTTCTACTCCAGATTTTCTTGATTTCTCTTTAAGTAAGATCATCAGCAGCTACATGAGCAATAGTCCTTATATATCTATATAAATAGCTGACAACTTATTTATTTAAACTCCAGTGTGGCAGGTTTGGCTTCCCTTTTGTCTGTTGTAAAGAGGGCACTGCAGAGCATCAGACAGGCTTCTCTTGCTCCTGGCTTATTCCAGCTGCTGTCCCAACACCTGGACTGCTTCAAATACTAACCTCCCTAGGGTTGTCAAACCTTTGGAACTTTAACCTAAGTGGAAAGAGTTTGGATGTTACCCCTGCTCACACCAAAGCTGCCTGGGGGATTCTTCTGTGTGTAAGTTCTACCCAAAGAGTCGTTCCCAATCCACACACCTACACTGAAGGCAAATCTGCACTCCAGAACTGCACAAAGCCCACCCATTGCAGAAGGAATGTGGGTAGTCTCAAAAATAGCACAAATCCTTTATTAACCATTGAATTAAACTGTTGCCAGGACACACTATTTTTCATACTCCAGGTGACTGCTGAAGTCAAATAAGGAGGCCTGTGAATAAACAGATGCTGGAACAGAGCAGCACCTGCCCACCCTGWGCTTTTATCCATCCCAAGTGTTGTGCCCATGAACGGGGCAATTTCATCAGCTGATGATCCACACACAGATTAGGATTTGCTATTTGAGTAAATGTGCAGAATGAGATTGGGTTTTTGCAAACAGAGTTTCTTGACAGCTGAAAATTTAGCCTGTGATTACTCTTCACTACTAACAAAGTCAGTTGGGAGCAGCAAYAAGAAACAAAGTCAGGCTTTTTCAGTAGCAGCCCCCTTTTAACGTGACACATGCTGCTGTGTGACTGTTTATACTGAAAGCCAGAAGCAAAGAAAACATTTCCCTCGAATTTCAAGTTAACAAAAAGCCTTCACAYCCATTAGATGCAGTAAAAAAATAACCTGGGTAAGAAGGAATTCAAACAACATTGTATGAAAAGCCAAAAAGAATGAACCTTTACSTCTTTCACTCAAAGGACTTAATCTACCATAGCAAAATTAATTTTTATTACACAAAATAGTACCTAGCASTCCTGAACTTTTGTTTACACAGTGTAAACTGTTCACACACTGAAGGTATTTGCAATGCTTGATGTTGCTGCACATTACTCTAAGGAGGTATTGAAATAAATCTCATTTCAGAAGTTACATTGAAAACAAACAAATTWWWWAAAAAAYCACAGGATTGATTTGGTGGAGTTTTTAGTGGAGTTTTTTTGGCATTGCTTTGTTTTTCAGAGGRACCAACACATAGAATTGAAATGTAAAAAGAAAAGAGTTGAGCTAAGGGAACTTAAATAATGTAAATACCATTCAGRCACGTTTGAAAGCAAGAAGCAGCACTGACCTGCTCCCGGGCAGCAGCGGCTCCATCGGTCGAGCCTCRCACCACAGACTCTTGGGCTGCTCTGCATAGAGCAGCGAGGACTGGCAGTGCAGTGTCAGAGGGGACAGATGGCCAGGAGCAGACCACAGAGCACTGGGGCTGGAGGTTTGCCTGCCAGCCATGCTCTCTGGATCCCCAAAATTGCTGGCAATGTTGTAGTTCACCATAGCAGGGCTGCAGAATGCCATTGCAGAATATTCATGTCTGTTTTCCGGGTAAGAGGAGGGAATGTAGACTGGACTGTGTTCTTCTGACAGCGTGGGCTGATTGCAGCTGTAGGGGACTGGAGAGATGACACCAGCAGGTGAATTTTTAATTTCTGTTTTATTGCATCCAATATCCTGAAGTGGCAGCAACTGAGAAAAGTCCTTGTGAGATGATGTGCACAGGGACATTTTGGAGCAAGTCTGAAGAGTGCTGTTTAAATATTCATCCTGAGATGATAAGGTATATTAAAAAAAAATAAAATTAAAAAATTAGAAAGCTCTGCATTAAGTCCTTTTCTATAAAACATAAAAGGGACCAGTAAACCAGAAAACATAAAAATGTCTCATTAAAACAGATTACACACCAAATGCACTTAAATAGTCAATGTACAAATTTACTACCTTTCAGAAAAAGAAAGCTTTCTAGATTGTCCTTAAAAATATAGGYTGAAATACACATTGAGTTCAGACTCCTTTTTAAAAAAGAATAATTTTAAGAAGAAAATTATTTCAGGCCTGCCTGAAACAAAGATGAAAGTGACAATTTGGATCTTAACAGGAGCTACAACCAGGGTAAAACTACTCTATATCAGAGACAAAATTACCCCAAGATCCACAGCTAGAGAGGAGAAATCAATTCTCTTTATAACAACTCACCATCTCCTGCTGTAACTGCACTACAGTCTCCAGCCTTGTACTCCAGGGCGCTCCCCTTTTCCATCACAAACACTTTACAGAAGATATTTTGAAAACACACACACACAAACACACATGCAGGTTCCCTATACCTTCCAAATCCAGAACTCCACTGCACAGAGGGGGAGGACAGGAAGGGGATGTCAGCAAACAGTGCAACTTCATCACTGAGAGGTCCCTGGGTACGGCACCTCTGAGCAGAGCAATTAGAAAAGTACAAGTCATAAAATGCAGCTATTTCCAAAGCTGWCAGCACAACTCGAGTGATTTCATAAGGTACAGAAGTTTTATAATTCCCATTYCCAACTACTCCCTGTCCTTTCTCTCATCTGACTCAGTTATCAAAACAAACACCTTAAATTGCCCACAGCATATACTCTTTGCCAGATTTAGGTATATACAAATTAATTAAAAGAGAAAATAATTTTGACAAGACAGAAAAAAAAAACCCCAAAAACAAACAAATACCCATTATCTTCCTGAGACAGACCCCTGCCCTGGAAGCATTATTTTGCGGTAGCATTTAAATACATACTTTTCTTTATTCTTCACTTAGAGTTTAATCCGCAATTCATTCCAGCTCTGAAGACAGACCTAGTYTGCAATTCAAAACAATTCTGTATCCAAAATAGCAAGTTCCAGCCCCCTGCACTGATATTTCAGTGTACTTTTACATATGGTAATAAGATCCTAACAAGAGAAACCACAGGATAACTAAACATCCAGCTTTGTTATTCCACGAGTRGCCAAAGGTATAGATGCAATATGTTCTTACCTTTTTTTGCCTCACATGACCACAAAGCAAGATGAGGAAGATTCAAGCACGGATTTGTTGAAGTAACAGCAACCTCCCTGTCCCCAAAGTTCTCAGCCAGATGGCATTTCTAGAATGCCACCTTGAGGCATTTAAATGTTTTTGTCCTCTAGGGTGAGGACTGAGAGTAGAAGCATTAACAGAAAATGTAAAAAATAGTCCTTTTGACTAAAATGGATAGCTGAGAGTCCATCCTTCCTTCTCACTCTGCACTCTGGMGATGAAACTGAAGATATATGTGGAAACAACCAGAAACTCATTTAAATCAGCCCAAGCACTTTAGACCCAGCTGCTGTTTTTTCCTTTGTGGGAAACAGGAAAATGAGATATCTCAGCAGCTGTTTGTGTCCAGCAGTTCTTGGACTGGAACTCCAGAGCTGTCAGAGCAGGGGATTCTGGCCTCACTCCTCACTCAACCTACACACTTCATCTGCCCCCACCAGACACTCCTCTAGGAAAAACCAGGCATCGTGCAAACTTCACTGCAAAAAAGCCATTGATAAACCCAAATGTGCTTTCACTCCCAGATTATGGGGTGGGTAATATACTAGAAACAAATGAGGGAACTAAAAATTACTTTAAGTGTATTTTCAGGGGTTACTACAAGTGAGCCRGTGAGCACACTGGAATCAGCACACATTTAAAGATTCAGTGTAAGGAAAGCTGCATTCCCTTTGCAATCTCAGAGGCTGCAGGTATTCAGGATGAGCATGGACACTGCTAGAGCATCTGGAATGCCCAGCAAAAGCTGTCTGTGCTCACTCTGAGCCTCTGCCTCCCTTAGAAGGGCACAGAGTGCAGGGCAACCCCAAACCCTTTGGAGAAAAGGACCTGAGCAGCACTACAGCAACACCTCTGTTACCATCAGCTAGAGACATTCTGCTCTGACAGATTTTGCAGCAGGCAGCTGGTCTGTAACTCCCCTCAGCATTTAGCAAATAAATGCCTGTACACTGTAGAAGCAGACAGAACACAGGGCTCCTACTACGGAATTTTATGAACAGAAATCAGCTGMGATTTGAGTCATGTTTTGCTGCAGAGGGAATCCGCTCCTGTGTGTATGCAGGGTAACTGCCTGTTTAGCAGGAGGAGATACTGTCTCCAAAGGGCAACACAAAGTATTCAGAAACATCCACAGAAGTTACCAGAAGCAAGACTGAAGTTTGTTTTAGGGGYAGGAGTTCACACAAGCATAAGAAGTCAGTACAGCCCTCCTCAAAACSTCACTGCTCATGATTTATTTACAAGAGAAGGGGACTCTGGGGTCCAGCAGGTTAAAGAAAACTGTCCTCATGGTCTTCAGAGGCTGWAATGTAGTGAAAAAATAACAGCATTTGCCTGAGATAATTAACTTGGGTAGGAGAAATTGTTAAGCCACAGCAGACAGTGGATGTACATGAGATCACATTGATCACATTTCCTTGCACCCAGAAAATTTCAAACGGGAAGCCCAGAGCCTTACAAATAAAGTGAAACTGTTGAAACTGCTCAGAAAGTCCTAAAAATTGTCTGCTGGACTGTCAAGATGAGTGTCTTAAAGAAGAACTGAAGACTGAGGGAAACAGATCTCAAGATCTGAGACTGGAGAATTCAAACTCCACAAACCAGAGGAAGCACAACCACATTTAATACGARGATTACAATAAATAGGCTAATAAATTTGTTCCATCCTGACATAATGTCCTCATATCTTAAACACTACTCATTAAACAGAACTGAACTACTTCCTAAAGTGAACTTCTGTCCCAACACTCCCTCTTCCTCTGAAGAAAAATTTTAGAAGCAAGATTCAATGCTAAAGTACATTATTCAGATGCAGTCCATCAGCCCTGCAGTAKATCTGTACCAGACACAGAAACAAAACAGGTGTCTATTATTTTTATACTCCAGCCTCCTGGGAGGCTGCAAATGTTTCAATCCACTGAAGTGAGTTTAGCTTAGCAACACACTCAACAACTGAAATGCCATTGTTAAGTAAACAATTGTCATTCTGGACAGTTCCTTGAGTAACACTTACCATTCACAAATCTAAGACACTACAGGCAGGATTCACTTCTGACATAAAACAGCTTCATTAGCTCCAGTACCCAGAGGATGACACCACTATCCATAAGGATGCAGGAAAAAAAAGAAATGTTATCAATGCTCTCCACCAAAAAAAAAAAAAAAAAAAAAAAAAATTATGTTTCTTCTCTTTGAAGAACTCTAAAGCAACTGAATGTATCTTGAGAGTCACCATGCAAGACATGCCAGATGAGGCACAAGAACTGGTTTAGATGTCATAGTCAAACAGACACATGGGTAAATAATTAAGCCATCTGACGTATTTCAACAAACTCAAAAGCCACTTATTGCACATTACCTATACCAAGTACCTCTTCAAAAGCCTTGTGTGAAAAAGCTTTTTTTTTTTTTTTTTTTAGTTTTATGGGTTGTTTTTTTTTTAAGTTTTGGAAAGGGGAAAAATAGGTAGAGAGGGCAGGGTACCTGCTTGGGAGCATAATAAAATAACATTCCCTAGAAAAGCACAATGCTTCGAAAAACAAGGGAGTGATGGATAATCTCAGGCACCCTTCCATCAACACACACAACAACATGCCTAGAATTTTACACATATTTTGTGTAATGATTTTTTGCAATGGAGAATCAAGATGACCTTTTCCTCTTATGGGCTTAAATTAAAATGCAATCATTCTTCCTTGGGGTTTAACAGAAGTGATTCAGCAAGCGTGCATTGCACCGCCCACCCCACAGCCAAAGATCCTCAGTCAAGAGATCTTGCAGAGCACTCTATTAATATTCTGTTAAGTTACATTTTACACAACAATAAACTGAATCATCTTCTGGAGCAGTGATTATTAAAGGAAAGTCATTCCTGATGCGTAAGATGATACTTGTGCTTTGTGAAAAACTTATTACTCATTAAACGCAGCAGTGCCAGATATTGCCAACAGAAGGCAGGCGAGTAAACAAGTTTATTATTACCTGGATGCAAGAAACAGGGGAGAGATAGGGAAGCAAAATGCAAGCACAGCTATCTGTGCAGACCTCAGATGCTGCACTCACTCCTGCAAGATTAATAACCTGTGCTCAATGGCATCAAGATTTTCTCTGAAGGAAATACTGCAGCTCAAAAGCACAAAGGAAAGAATATTTTTAAAGAAAATGAGCACTCTTTGGCTTTGGTCAGGACACTGACCATGTCYAGATTATTCTAAATATTTATAAATACATTTCAGGGCTCAGTGATTATGACATGGGGGCACCAAGGGAACTGGATTTGTTCTACTTGAGGAATACACAACTGCAGTCTTCTAACCCCTGAAGTGGAGATACAAGGACAATAAATGCAGACTCTTTTTACAGAAGGTGYACAAGTCAGGTCAAGAGATCACAGTCACAAGCCAGTGCAAGGGAAATTCCAGTAGAACACAWGAAAAATCCTTCACAGTGAGAATTAAGTACAGGAACAGGATACCCAGCAAGGCTGCAACATCCCTGTCTTTGCAGAGATTAAATAAATACTCACTTTGAGCAGGATTCTGGCTCAGTTGCTCTCTAGATTTCCCTTCCCACCTTCCCATTACTGAAGGCATTCATAGCAGAGGAAATTCCATTTTACCTGAGCTGGCAAGAGTGAGGCACAGCAAAGGCTCATGGCCTTTGTCACCTCTGTTCAGGGAGGAAAGAGCTGTGGGTCCAGCCCAAAGACAACCAGCATTTAACACTTCATGTTGCACAAAACCAACTGCCTTGCACACRCTGCAGTGGGATTAGTTCAACAGAAGGTATCCATCAAATTGGAAAATATTTTCAGATCTTAGTTCGAACTAAAGTTGACTTTATTAGTTTTTAAYCTTTGCATTTCTAGACCATTAAAACGTTACCAGACTCGAGAACAAGATTTTAGCTTTCTATATTTGCATCTCTTAAATATTTTTCTTATCCCTAGGGATTCAGACACCAGGAATGAAAAACTATTGTCCTGCTCAAGAATACAAATGCAAACTGAGACACTTCCGCTCCTTTATTCTCTGTGTAATTATTTCAAAGTACAGCGTGGACTTTTTGATCAAAAAGAGTATTTGCATTTCAGCATGAAAAWTTGAGTGTGTTCCATTAGAAAAGAAATATCTATTAAAACTATTACACAAGTAACAAATGCAAGGATCTAACYGTGGATTTTGTAATCATGCTTCAAYCCACAGCAGTATTGTGGCAGAAGCCAATACACAGAATAGCACCCTTGTCCAGTAAGAACATCATCATTATAAAAATATATTTCCCTGTGATGCAAGAGAGGGCAGGGAAGAGCAGCAGAGGGATTTAGATTTTGGTGGAGCTGTGATGTCCATCTGTATCCAGCATCTCTCAAGCCTACTTGGGTCTCTCAGCACATACATACAGTTAATGAAGCTAATTCTTAAAAAAAAAAATTGCTTTGATGACCAGACCATAGCTCTGTACCAACAGCATGAAATACACCCATTCCTTTCATCCAGGAGGAATTAATTCCTTCAATCACCATTTCTCTCTTAATGACAGTGTCCTACAACAAATGTACACAAACCTTCCCCCTCTCCATTCCTTTCTAGTCATTTGCAACATG